TATTAAATATTTGTCGAACACTTTAATGTAAAAATATATTACTTTATACCTACCTACGCACAGGTTACGGGTAAGTTTGATTAAGAGGACGCAATGTCCTACGTCTTACAAATATACAAGTACACAACATGGCAAATATACGTTCAGCAAAATCAATTATGTATTAGATTTGATGTTGGAGTGAATTGACTAAAAATCAAATGTCGGTTTATTTTGATATTTTAATTTTTCAGTGAGTACTGAGTTTTTAAAATACATAGGTATTGGGAAATTTTCAAGCATGCTCAGTCACATGCTTCTTTAATAATGCAGTTTTAAAAGATCTGATATTTAGAATTTTTAAATATACTTAAAGACCATATTTTCAAGTTCTAAAAATTTTTTGTAGTATACCTACTTAAGGAGTGTCCTGTGGAGATACAAACTTCTGTTTTTAAAATCAGACCCCCACCCTTTTCTACTGTAAATTATTTAGCTGATAATTTTTATGAAAATGTTTACTTCCCTATCAGAATAAAAATTTTAACTAGCAGTTTATGAGTTATTTATTTTATTTGTTTGTGTACTAAGGTTAATAAGTCCACTATAATGGGTTTGGATGATAAGGGAGGCTATGATGGTGATTTGAATATTTTAGTGGTTAATATTAACCTACTATCAACATTTATAATTTGTAAAAATGGTTCAAGTATAATAAATTCTAGATCCAGTCTACTTGATATTTTTGTAAACTATTTTTAAGAATTATGGTACTTAGTATAAACATTTTAAGAACTGAGAAACTGCTGGTTTTAATTTTGAATTAGGTAGATCAACATTTTCAACAAAACAATCCACTAAAAAATGTACAGTAAAAAATTGGTATTCTTATTTTAAAAACCCAAGTTTGTGTCACTATAGGACACTCCTTAACTCTTAAGTTATACAACAAATTCATTATTAAAGGAAAACAATGAATGTGAGCTGACATATAAATTACCTTGTTAGAAAATTACTAGTCATAACTAGTTTAAAAATTAAAAACCGTAGACGACGTACAAACACATATCATTTTAGATTCTGAGAGGAGCGATGAATGTATTAATTTTACAATGATGTGTGTTTTTTTAAAAAACAATTTTTGTTGCGGTGTAAACAATAAGCAGTCGAAATAATACTTTGATTTTCAACTTCAGTAACTTGTTCGATGGGAAAGTGAATGAGTTGGTGCATTGGAGAGGTTAAAATCCTCAGCAGTTTTCGAAAATTTTTTCCCAAAATCAGTTTTTGACAAAATCGATTTTGGTTTTTGATGAAACTCTAAAAAAAATTACCTATACATATTAGATTTTCACTGGTTGTTTATATTGGCATTTTCTATACACCATACAACTTTGAAAATATTTTGACTTGTTTTGAGCTGTTTACGGACATAATATTCAGTTTCCAATTGTATAGTTTTTTTCCTATAAATATCAATAAAATTTTTGTTGGGACAAAAAGTTTGAAAATTTAATACAAGGCTTCAAATATATTGCTTAAATGAGATAGTTAAAAAATATTAAAAATACAAATTCACAATTTGCATTTAAACTTCGAACTATGACAATTGACAACAATTATCAAATTGAAAATCTAAAAATGATTTTGATGTAAAAATGATATTATAATGTTTAACTTTTATGGCCAAGGATTGAAAATTTAAACAATGTTCCACGATAAGTTTTTATTCTATAACCAAAAATATAAAAATATAAAACACAGTTTTTTTATATTAAATTTGGACGATTTTGTTTTATATTTTAAAAATGTTTTTCGTGCGTACGTTAAAACTTTTAAAGTATATTACTATATACACAAATAATATAAATTCAACTTACCGGCGACCTTATTATTAGTATAATATATAAGATATTTAATAACATAAAATATATCCTTGGTTGATAACCGTTAAGCTCAGAATTGTTTTTTCGTATAGGTAGGTACATTTATATTATATCATTGAATTCAAATTTAACACCATCCATAACAGCGACCCACTTGTAACTTACTGAACATCAGAGTGACATCCACTTATTTTTACCTTTAAGTTTGTAAATAGGTCAATTCACTCTAATATTAAAGATGACAACACTATATATTATATCCAATTGGTTTCGCTGAACGCTTATTGAAATCGGTCAGCCGTGGGTGAAATATCTTCCCGGTATTAATTAAAAATATAGGATGTCTTAATTTGTCCTAATATAAGTTTAACATTATCATTCATCGGAGGGGGTAATTTTCCGATTGCGGTGATCAACCTAATTGTTTAATTCTAAAATAATACGATTATTATAATACATAGATGTAATTACTTACCCAGCTTCCACTCTCCGTGTCATGTAATTGTATTTAACAGCTATAAGTACTGTGTTGGTCGCTACTTATATAACATTATGAAGTATGTTTCGGTTTCCACGAGATAAAAACAATAATATAATATTCTGAGCAGAGTTTTTACTTTACTGGGCATTGTTTTTCAATAATCTTCTTCATCGTCGGTGTAATGGTTCGTAACGCATTTGTTGTACAGAAGTAGTAACTGCGCATTTTACTCATCTGCAAAGCCGGGTAAGTATCTAATATTTATATAAAGGTGTGATGAGGTTCACATTGATTTAACAGACGAGTGTTTAACGATGTTCGATCCGGAAACTTACTGTGGTCATTACACATAATATGTATGAATAAAACGACGAAGGTACATTTTCTGGCTAGTCATCGTCCCGTAAGAAATGTATTGCCCTTGTCAAACGTTTAAACGAGTACCACGTACGATACTTAGATAGGTGCGCACTTGCTAAATATGATATAATAATATATGATTGATATCAATACATTTTTTTTACAGTCTGCCAGGTGACGATAAAAACCCATTGCTTTATTATAATATTATAATATATTTTACAATACGTCCCACATTATATGTAGGTATTACCTTTCTACGTCTTATTCACGAGCTACACTGAAAATCGTACTTACCTACGTTTAAGTTTGACCGTAGATAGTAGAATTCTATAATTTAAATTAAATAACTCCGTTTTACCCACTGACCGGTTCGACGATAAAATAAAATAAGAGATCATGAAATCAAAATTATATTTATTTTAAATCTATAAACCTGGATTTTATAACTGTTAAAACGTCAGACATAAAACAATAAAAGTCATCATTATTATGGGATAGTATTAATATTAATTACAAATATACCTATAACGATTATTGATAATAAATAGTTACGAGAAATGTATAAAAAAAAGTTTAATGTATTCACTATTCATAATTCATATTACAAGTGTAGAGTTATATAACTATTGTCTATAGAGACAATTGTTCAAAAATTACACATATTAAAATGTATATATATATTTATATATTATATATAAAAAAAACAATGATCAAGCACCAATTTTTATTTTTTTTAGGAGCTTTAAATAGGCAATTAAAAGGATTGCTTATTATACAACTATTTAAATGAATTTATAAAGTAATTTACAAGTAATCTCGTGTTAACATAGCGCTATATTGTTTTATTGAATATTACTACATTTGTATAATGAGTAAAGGAGAATCTTTATGTATAATTATTATTTTTTTGGGGTAGGTAATAATTTAAAACAAGAAATTTATAATACAATTTAATTTAACAAAAACCTTAAAAACTAATAAATGTTTACAGATTAATTATTTAAAATTTAATTACTCAATCGTAGAAACAAAAACGTTACAATACATAAAAGTTTGTAATGTATAGTACAAAATATGGTGACTATTTTCTTGGAGGTATTGCAGGTTTGCAATTACGAGTGGAAGATTTATAAGTGAAGTAATGGCCCATGGTGCCCGATGGAGATTACATTTCCCAACGTTTACAAAATCAAAATAGAGTTTTTAAATCATCTACGATTTCAATTGAATGTCAACAAGTTTGTTTATTATCAGTTATCACGTATATATCTTATTAAACAAAATTAAATTATAATATTTCTGGTAATATAATAATAATATACACATCTATACAATTTTCAAATTACTATTCTATAGCTGTGATTCTTTTCTATGTATTTTATACTAAATAAACTTACAAGTTATAGTAAATAGTTGTTACTAAACTACTAATGTAACATTCGTACTTTGGAGTCCATATTGGTTACTGGTCTTATCGTTTTTGAAATATGGTATTAGAAAAACTCAGAATACAATATATTATTAATATACATTTATGTTTCTATTTATAATAATTAATATTAACAAAAAAAAAATAAGGTCAAAACTATATTAATTGTCTTAAATCTATGTTGTTTAACTGAACCAATGTAGTTCAATTATTTTTAATACCTTGAGGTGAAAATATATTATGAAACATAATTATAATGTAAAATTATGTATATGGGTGAATATTTATATATTTACATGTACAAAGATGGGTAACTTAAAATTTAGATATTTAACTATTTAAGTCAGTCAGGAAAAATTAGGAAAGCTGTATTTTATGTCTATAAGACAATATACTATTAATAGTATAACATTATATAACTCGCCTGACTAAATAATTATTAACAGTATATATATTATATTCTACAACATTTTTATTTGGGTCAGTGGGGTCGTCATTTAGACGCCTGCAGGTGACTTTATTTATGACTAAAAGTATAATACACTAATTCACATCTAGGAAAACAATGGTCATATTTTCAAGGGAAATTATACCACAACTGCATTTCCCATACACAGGAAAACATTAAACGTATATGAAGATATTTTGTTTTCAACCATGACGATAGCAACTTACAGTTGAAAATTAAAAATCATAATATGGACATTAAGTTACTGATTTTGAAACAGAGTTATTGTACAGTTAATTTTTACGGACGTATTAACTTATGTACACATATTACACACCAACGAATGAACGAAGTTGTGACTTCATGACATTAGGAATAAAAAAATACTCAATCATATATTGTTAATCGTCAAGATTATTTGCCTTTGGTAGTTCCTTCTTCCATCTGGAATGCTATGTTGTCCAATCCTAGACTTGAAAATTGTCCCGAACCTCTGTGAGTCTGTGTCCGTCTATCTAATATAGTTTTCAAGTCGAAGTCGTGCGAGGATATCCTGAAGTCCAAACTATTTTTTTTCTTCAACGCCTCAGATTTCTTTTCTTCATCTCTGATCTCTGCTTCTTTTTCTCTTCGTTCCTTTTTATGTTCATTGTACATCCATCTATTATATACACACACATAATATAATATATATATATATATGCTTAAATAATTGTGGGTAATACAGTTAATAATCGTGTTATCTATCGACTATCAGTTAGGTTGACATTTTCTAATCAAATTATATTATTAGCTATAAGACGTGTATCAAAGCCCGTATTGAAACCCAAAACTAATTATTATTAAAATCATATTTATTTATAAAACCGGGAAGATTGCTCTGTTGTCGATTTTATAACTCGTCATTGAGTAGGTCACTGTAGGACCCACATAGCCACATGCCGATACTTGGTTGTGCCCCCCCCCCCCCTTGGAAATAGGAAAAAAAAACAATCCTGTTCTTACTCCTGTTTGAACATTACAATATTGGCCTTGTTGATGTTAATAATTACTCACGTATAGGATCCTGGGCAGTACTCACCTGCATAGGCCCAAATTGGGGGAGGGTACTAAGCCCCCCCTACAAAACCTAGGACATACAATTTTAATATTCTATATTGCAATGGTCTGCTTGCCTTTAATATATTCAGCCCCCCAAGTTAAAAGTTGAAATTGCGCTTATGCTCACCTGCCTACCCTTAATCTGGGCCTGAGCATGCACCAAAGAGTTACAAACATAACATTTATATTAACAAAACAATTTAAAATAACTTATTGTTGAATCTTACGATAAATATTAATTAAATATTTGTTTTTTAAAACATATTTTATAGATGAACATGATGTAAGACATCAATTATACTAACAGAAATATGAGAGCTGCAGGGGCAGTTAATGCGCCACCGAGTAAGAAAAATGCTCCAGGAACCGTCTTTAGCGTGGCCTTGTATACAGCGCTGTACATTGGTCCATAAATTAGGGGCACCAGAGCTTCACATACGCCAAAGAGCGAGTTTACCTTTCCTGAAAGTATTTATGTACGATTAGACAAAAAAAAAGGTCGATTTTAAAACAACCATTGCATACCTAGTTCATCTGGCGGTACGAGTTTGGAAATAATCGATCTCATGGCGATAAATGATGTTCCATTTACAATATCAACAAGTGGTGCTGTAAAAATAATATTTTTGTTATCGCGGGTTTTTATTTTTACATTTTAACAAATAATTAAGAAACGTTTTGTTTTGACAATTGTATAAATATGTATAAAATATTATGGCAAATAACTTATAATAAAGTTATTATTTCGTTATTCTCATAAAAAGTTTTTATTTCTCGGAAGCATGCAATATAATACGAATCAATTACAATTAACTTAACTATTCTTAACATGATTGATTGTGTCCGTCTTCCAAGTTGCAAGTGTGATACGACACATTTACACTCAGCAGCTCACGTTTAGCATCGTTAGTTTTAATATTAGAGCGAATTGACCAGTAGTCAAACTTAAAAAGGTAACAACAGCTTTTGTGTAAGTGAGTAGGTTTTTTACGGTACCTATTTCAATTTTTTAGGAGAGTTATAGCTTATGAGTTATGAGTATGATGAATATTGCAATCTAAAAATTAAAATATTGTAAAATACCAACATACAAATTCTAAATACAGATAATATTCTTACCTTTAGGCTTTAAGTTTGACAATAGGTCAATTCACACTAATTTTGAAACTAACGAAGCTAACCGTGGTCTGCTTAATGTAAATATGCTATGTTGTGAACTTGTTAGTCAGAGACAACAAAATGTTGGTTTGGACGTGTGACGTATACTCTTAAATCTTAATAGATAATTTTGAAAGACTTATGAAAGTTATTTTTTTATAAAAACCAAAAATGAAATTTATCATACCTGCACTCTTTATTTTGATGAATACAACTCACTAAATTTTTTTCGAGTTGAAATTTAGCATTATTATCTATATTATTGTATTTTTAATGGTTTTCTTACCATCAAATCTAATTTTAGAGCTAAGAGATTGTACGACTGACAAATTATTATGAACATTATAGGACAGTTATTATTATAATAGATACCTATTTATTTAACTTTCACATTACAAAATGTGTATGGGTTGTAAATAATTGTTATACATTATTTTTTATATGTTCCTATACACATAACAATATTATATTCAATTTTCAGAATATTATAATATTATAGTTTCGTCGGGCGGTTAAGGCGGTTATTTTTTAGCGAGTGATAAATTAGTGCCTACTTCCATTTTTGTTAAATTTTTTATTGAAATATCACCAACCCAAATAAAATACGAAATCCGTTGTGGCAAACGCGTAAACGAATCCGGCCAATATTTTGCTCATGCATGATATTACTCCAATTAAGGCATCGTCGATTTGCAGCATGTGACTGAACACTCCAACCGAAAACATTGTACCTGTTTTGATAAAAAATAAAAACAATACACGAATATATTTTTACTAGTGTAAACAATAAAAATATTAAAAAACTTAAAACTATAATTGGTGTATACGTTTTGACGAACCTACAAGATTAGTAATCATTGAATACGTGGAAAACATACTGTAGTTCACTTCGTCCCAATTGAATCTTACACGTGTAAACAGATACATCACAGACATTTCACCTGCAAAATATTATGTTATAATTTATACGCTGAACTGTTGAATCACAAACCAAGTACCTACCTATATTCAAGGCTGGGCAAGTTAACTATTTTTTTTAACTCGTTAAGTTAAGTTAATATAGAAAAATGTAAGTTAAGTTTAAAGTTAAAAGTTAACTTCATTTTTTTTTTAACTTGTAAAAGTTACAAGTTAATTAGCAAATAAAAGTAACTTAACTTAGTTAAAAATAAGTTACTTTTTATTTAAAATAAAATTAACAATTATACCTACCTACCTTTTTTAAAGCTAACAAATAACATAATAATTCAATAAATCAAAAAATCAAAAAATGTCTTACAATATTTGAATAAATGTTTGTAATAAAATTAGTTACTGTAGGTACTTATATTAATTTTGTGTATTATACTTTAATTAGGTAAATAGTAAATACCGCGCTACTACGGGTATTATTTACATCGACGGGCCAAGTTATCACCGTAATTCTATGAATGAATAAAAATATAATTAAGTAATGATATTAATAATGATTAGGTATAGGTTAGGTGATATGTCGTGTATGGGATAGGTACTGAGTATATTTTTCTTTGACGCGGTTAGAGTCATCTCTATGATATTTCCCTCTAAAAATATAGTTATAAAATATTTTCTGTGAATATGCAATATAAAAACTTACTAGTTACTATTATTATTATAAATTATTATTTAATAAAATATATTTAATATTTCGGGTTTTTTTTATGTAATTAATTTTACAAAATTTAATTAATTTTAAATAATATGTGGTTTGGGAAAAAATTAACTTAACGTGCCAATAAAATTAATTAACTCGTTAAGTTACTGAATAACATGGGGAAAAATGTAAATCGTTAAGTTAGAAGTTACTTCTAAAAAAAAAAGTAACTCGTTAATTAACTTAGTTAAAAGTAACTTAACTTTTAAACTTAACTTTAACTTATTAACTCGTTAATGCCCAGCCTTGCCTATATTTACTCTTTGTACGATATAATATAAATTTATCTAATTATAAATTATATACAACACTCATAATATTTCACAATGTCTACATCTTCGGGGGGGGGGGGGGGGGGCTCAATAAGTTAGTAGTAATAAGATGAATTAATAATTGAATAAACTATGAAGAGTTTCATTTCTTTGGGAAATAAATTTAAAGAAATATTTATTTTTTACATGATATGTTAGAATTTATAGTCCATGGTCATCGTCTGCATAGTCATTATCCAAGATTATACTTGGCTCTTATTTGAATACAGAATAAATATCAATGAAACTGAGAAACTGAGTTATAACTTATACAGTTGTATTAGTTATATAACTAATAAGTATAATTAATATAAATTATTTGTAAGCTTAATTTAATTCTAATTAAATTACATTTACCTACTCGAATAGAGAAAAAATGTTTTTCTATGTGATTGACATTATAAAACATAATTCATAATAAGTAACAGACAGCGATGAGTATTTTAATTGTAAGTTATAAGTTTTCAAAAAAATTAAAAGCTTTGTTCGGAGTCGAAGGACATAGCGATTAAAACAATTATGTTGTTAAAATTTTAATTTTTTTTTGCCATTGTTTTTCTTACTTTCTCCACTAGCTCGAATTTTTCAATTTGAAAAACAACCATAATGATGGTGTGTATAGAAGCTATAATATTATCATAATTGTGTACATTTGACTCATAAAATAACCTCCAAATAATTGCGCACAATTCCATTAGATTAATATTTATAACTACTATAGGTAGGTAGATACAATGGAAAAGTAAAATAAGATTTAATGAAAAAAGTAGAAAATTTGTATAAAATTAGTTATACCTACTGTATTCCTAGATTATAGTATTACTTTTGAGTAAAACTACACAATGTCGCGTTCACATAAGAACTATATAGATAAGTAGTTTTTTAATTTTAATAAAACTCAGTACTGTAGTACAATTTAATATTCATTATAGGGGTTATCTTAGAAGGAAACATAAATTTGTATTAAAAAAACAAGTAAGTGTTATAATGAAGCATAGACGGTTGAGTTGATTAGACATGCATTTCATTTGTATTTCATATAGGAGTGGTAGATTTCAAGTATAGGTAGGTAATGTTTTACACAATTTATATCCGGCATAGTATATAACGTCATTTTTATGCCTATCAAATCAACCTAATAAAACAATCTATTATCAAACCGTCAGCTTTACAAATTTCAAGGTCGATTTAACGAGTGAAAAATGAAAATAAATTGTTCGCTCAATATAAAAAAAAATTATAACAATACTTCAAGCATATCTATTTTTTATTTGGATTTACTAACCGTGCAAAGGGCCCATTACGACGATGACGACAACCATCAAAGCAATAATTCTTAGTCTTCGGTTGTACTGTCCTTCTTTAAATGTCACTCGGACGGCCTCTTTAATATGGCTCAGGCTGAAAAAGTCCTTGAGGAAATCCACACAGGACGTATCCCTCGGTGGCTCTTTACTCTCAATACTTATTTCTGGTTTCGTCTCCTTGATGAAAACCATGCCATATACAAAAGCAAATATGTACAATACTGTTGCTATGATGTATACGCCATAAAAACCGAGTTCTCGGAACAGTACACCAGATAACGCTGTACCGATGGGCACACCCACAGAACAGAAAACGTTTACTATACCGATTCTCAAAGTTCGCATTTTCACCTGAAAAATCAAAAAGAACGAATTAAAATAAAATTTTGCAATTTCAAATGCGGATCTCTGCAGTGGAAACATATTTTGTACGCGCTTTCTTATAGTCACGAGTGAATAAACGTGTATTATAAATAACTCCACGAGGAAATGACAACTCCACTCTATTTACGTCTTATATTATCATGACAGTATTCATATCACAAATAGGACTCATCGGGAAAATTACATTATTGACAAGACTTTGATAGGTTGGGTTAGGTTGGGTTAGGTTAGGTTATAGCTTAAAAGTATGATGTATAGGCATTTGTTTTTTTTATACTAACCGTAGTCACGTCTCCAACGTAGCTGAACACGGCCATGAACATGGTCATCCATCCGCCAGTCATAGCTGGTGGTACGGACTCCACCAGCCCGGCTACCTCCATCGGGAGATCGTAAAAATAGTAAGTACAAACCAACAGGCCGATGCTGGTGAGGAATTCACCGATGATTGGTATCAGCATGCATGGCTTGCGCTTGTGGTTCCGGTCGCTCCACGACCCGATGAATATTATTAGAACCGACGGTATACTGCTCTGCACGATCGTCTTCCATATTATCATGTCGGCCACCAGTTCTTGAACCACCACCTCATCCTCCTTCGTGTAGTTATTCATCGTCCGACTCTCCAGCGCCGAGCACGTGGAGTTGTCCAGTCGGAGGTTCACTCGGCACGCCTTCTGCAAGTTCAGATTCTGCGTGGCGAGCGACGCCAACACGCTGGACACTATATAGCATCCCAACATCGGCTCTACCGTACAATGTTTCAGCATGAATTTGGCTTTTGACATGATGCTCATGGCCTGCCATGATTCGTGGTTGTCTTCTGGCGGCGACGACTTCTCGCGTTTTACCCCGCTAGTATCGTAGGTCATTGTGTTTTCGAGGTTGTCTAGGACAGTGATCAAACGCAGCTATGGGTTAAATCGAATATGTCCGACAGAAAAGTACACTTGGATTCTGGTTCAAACATGTCGTCCGAATAACTAAAACCAAACATAATTTAAGTTGAAACAGTTGCTAACTACCCATTAGTCATCACTCATAAGTCATATAGTTAAAACAATTGTTGTAGATTCACATTTTACCTACATTTATTTTAAAAATAAAATAAAATCACATTTAAAAATAAAACATAGATACCAGATTCTATACTTAGTTGGATAGAAAAATTCTATGAATATCATGCAGAGGATATATTTACCAAAAATTAAATATTTTTAAAGTTATTCATTTTTAGAAAGCTGAACTTAATGAAAATAATAGAACGTTTACAAAGACTAACTTCATGTTAATCGACCTTTTTCTTCATGTATTTAATTTTTAAGCGTTTTTGTGTCATGACCATAATGCTTAAGAGAAAATTCTTTGCCAAGTAATTATAAAGTACTATAAGGAAGAACTATTGTAACGGCATTGAGATTAAAAACACCACAAAAATATCATCGGCAACATAATTATTTGAGGTTTGAAGACAATAATAAAAACGATAGGGAAAATACAACAACAAATTGTTATGAACCGACGTGATAGGTTTGTGGTGATACTTAATTATAATCGGGCGGGTCAATGGTCCACAGCAGTAACTTATAAACATTAAACAATGACCTTATGACACACTTTGTGTAACACCATTAAGGTGACAAACTATCTTGTATATAATAATGATTATTTTTTTTTCATCTCTTTCACTCTTCATTACGCTCTCTCCGTCTATTTTTATATCTCCGATCACGTAAACGTCTTAAGTTTTATTTTTTTTTATTAAATAACTTATACTTAAAAGCGTGTACAGAAATAACCGGATAAATCATGGTGACCATTAATGATCGTGATATCATAAACGTTTGTCGTCTAGCATTACACAATAACAAAATTAGTCATATTAATAAGTTTACAATAATCCAACGATTTGTGAATACAGAAGCTCAATTAGGATTTATTTTCTGAGATAACCAATATTAATACGAACCATATTTATTTGAAAAAAACTATACCGTTTATTAGTTGTCATTATTAAACGATCAAAAACAATGTATGATCAGAATATTTTTAATTTTAAAAATTATAATAGTATAGTAACGCCATTCTAGACTCTAGAACTAATATTATACTTAGTGAATAAGGAAGCTGCCTGCAGGTTGTTAAGAAAGTAAACTAACCAAACAAAATATTTACAATTTTAAATTGATCCTAGGCTAATCTTTACGTTACACTCGCGTTTATTGTTTCTGTCTTACAAGCTCGTAACAAGGATAATTTACGTTTAGCAATTCACGTTTAGTTTCATTTGTTTTAATATTAAGATTAAATCAATCAATTATCAAATTTAAAGCTAACTAAATTCTCTTCTCTTTCTCTAAAAGGATTTTTCAATGTTTTTACTAAAAAGCGAGTCATACATGTTTAAAATATAATACAAAGTAAAATAGTAAAAAATATTGTTTAATGTTCATAACTCGCTTTAAAACGAAACATTAAAATCAATCACCAAGAGACCACAGATAATGTTGTTACCTTTAAATTTGTCAATAGGTAGATAACTCTTAAAATTTAAAATTAATAAAAATTAAGTGAACCACTGAACGTAAATTTGGAGTGTACAAGATATGAGTACATGATTTGTACTCTTATACACTTGTAAAACGAAGACAACAAATAATGGTAGTTGGAGGGTCCCCAAATATTTATTTATTTTTTCAAATCGCTATCAGTTATTATATTGTATACTTGGAAAATTAATAATTTTAATTGAAAAAAAACATTTCGTGGAGATAACAATCTGGGTAAGAATTGTCACTGTGTTGATTAGTGAGTTATGTTCATATTATAATATAATATTATGTGATAAATAAAATATTGTATTTTAAAAAATCGGGACACGGAATAAAATATGTAATTCATTAATAGTTGAACCTTTTAAAGTACCTCTTTATATATTTTATAAATGTTATCAATAATTAGTAGGCACCTCTATATTATTAGCTTATAGTTTTAAACAATTAAACGAACATAATTTAAGATTTACACTTGACAAATTAATACAAAATAATACAACCATAAGTAACTAAACTTTAATACTAAACTATAATTTATTTACAGAACTGGAAATAAAAAAATGAATTGAAATTATATTAACCTTGAGTTTTGAACCATACCATACGCCCATACCCTGTACCTACCACAACATAATGAACATAATTTATTCAATGTTTGAATGTTGTAAATATTTTTAGATAAAATTTTTTAGGAACATAAAATAATAAAATATATTTCATACATAAATATTTGAACGACAATAGTTTTTTCTTTTTTTTAGCTTATATCCTTTTTAGGATGGTTTGACTAACTTTATATTCTCTTTGTACCAGGAATTTTTTTAATGTACAGTTGTTTTCTGTTGAATTTTATTTAACTATATTTAGTATAACATAAATTAGCAATAAAAAAAAAAATATTGGTAGGAGGTACATTTATCTAAACAAATATTTTTTTAAAAATGAAATGTAAGAATTTATTTTGTAGAATGTCTAGACACAAGTTAAATAAAATATAGTCGTTGTGCGTTTAGTTGTATATAGTTCAGTATTATAAGCCTATTTAAGATAATAATTTAATTAAAAAGTGATACCTATAATTATTAAAGTATTATATATTTTCTGTAAGTACTCTAAATGCAAACGCTGGTGCCTACTATTACTATATACCTATTATTCTTCTATTCAACCAATTTTCTTATGATTGTAGTGTTAACAATAAAGTTAATAACATAATAACAATATATACGTAATACATATTACATGCAACAAAATATAAACAATAGTGGTATGGTAATACTAACTATTATTAATGTTTAATAAAAACTTCAAATCGGTTAAATTAAAACTATGTTAGAAATACGCTTTTATCAGATTATTATATCGATTGAATAATTTGAGATTTATATACATAATAATATAGTATTACATTGTATATACATTTCAGTAGCTACATTAGAGGCTAAAGTTTATAGTTAAGTAATATAAATCAAATTTTCCTAGAACCTTGTAATTATACGTTTGTAGATTTTTACAGATTAAATTCTTTCAAAACATTTTGGAAAAATACTCGTATTGTTGACTATATAGGTACCTACCATATTATAGTACCATGTACAAACACCATTAGGCCCATGCACAACACAATCAGTCTAAAAATACCCATTGCTTATATTTATATATTATGAGGATTGTATTTGTTCATTGTTACCACAATAAAATATAATTATAATATTATTATACCTACGAGCAATTAATAAATATCGAGTGTTATTATCGTGTACGATAAGTAAAAGTAATTAGGCGCATACGGTGTTCGTAGTTAGTAGTCGTGAGGAGATTGCAACCACCACATTGACCTACAAGTAATATTAGTAACAGTGTACATTGAACATTTTATAATGTTATAATGTTATGCTGCTCGCAGTATCATCGGTATACACCTTCATCACAATATTGTTGTTGTTAATAGAAACCGCTTATTATACAACTACAGCTGGTATTATAATAGAGGTCTGCACGTTAAGTTTGACATAATTATCCCTTCACAGAAATTGCCCTTTTATAATAAAATAGGTATGTTATATTATGGCGAGCCCAGACGTTTTTCAAATCATTTATATACTAGAAAGTATTGATAATATTTGATATGCACTATTAGTATTTATAATCAATGGTAGGAGGTATACATACCTACAGTGTTGGGTAGTAACGTAACGAAAGTAACGCGTTAGTAACACGTGACATAATTTCATTAGAATTATTTCCAAGTAACGAAAATGAAATGGAAATTACTTTTTAAATTACAGTTTCGAGCTTCCTACTTATTGCGAATTGAAAAAAAAAATATATATACATATATAATGCTGGTATTATTATATTTACCAATCTAATATTATGTACCTATACATATATATTTAAATTTAACTCGCCACAATTCAGTTTTCAATGGTTTTGACACTTGAAATGTCTAATTGCACCTAAATCACGAGAACAGTTAATTAAATGAATTATTTAATTTGATTACTTAGGTTTCCTATGAATAGCTTGTATGGAAGACTAAGTTTTATACGATCCTATTAACGATTAGACAGTTTTATGAAGAATTTGCTTGTTCAAGAAATTAAAAATAATACTTTTTTGTAACGAGAAAGTAATAAGTTACTCCTCTATTTGAAAAGTAATGTAATTTAATTACAATTTTATTTGAGTAACGAGTAAAGTAACTTAATTACATTTATCTCATAGTAACGAGTAAAGTATTTACTTTTTAAAAGTAACTTATCCAACACTGCGTACCTTTACTAATTTACAATAAATTTATAATGTACATTTGTAATGGATTATGTAAATACCTTCTTGTTACCAATTTATCATCAAGTGGAATAAAATATGTTAGACCTTAAGCGACTAAATATTTTAATTTTATTATAAAAAATATATATCTTTTTAATGAATATTATTATCCAAAGAACTCTTTACTTACTCGTTTATTAATATTAATTTTTCTCATATTATTGAACTGACTTACCAAGTACCTATATTGTTTTAAATAACTGTTTATAATCTATAAATTCTACAGACCGGTACCTAACAACGTGAATAATTTTTTTATTACAACTGTGTAAATAATAATATAACATAGTTCAACTAGTTCAAGGCTTGATGATCCGGCAATTAGTGTTCTATGTTGTATGCGATATGCGAATCATATTATTATATAAACCTGAACAACTAAATTTATGTTTTAAAACAAGAAAATATTTACACATCTCGTTAATTAAGAATATCATATGGTAACACTTTTTAACCCTGTCGCTCGATCATAAGAGTACTAC